TTCTACTTCACTTTCTGAATCGTTCTGATTTGCAGTCGGAGCAGAGCGTCAAATGACATCATCTTTTATACGCACACTAATATTTGTATAAAAAGTTTCTCAAAATCAGCTGATTGTGAAACATTACTCCTGGGCCCGGTTATTCACAAGGTTTTATCCGGATAAAATTGATCCGGATTTAGTAATCCTTTTTTTTGCGATCCGTGATCACGTAATCCATCTTACTTTTATGGGATCAGTTTAATACAGATATTTTGGATCAAAGTGATCCAAATCCTACAAAAAAGTTCTGAAAAACCCAAACTAAAGGTTTGATCCGGATTGGATTACGTGATCTAATCCGATTATGTAATCCGTTTTTTCTTTTGAAAAGTCCATTTTCAAGATTTGATCCAATCCGTTAACCAAAATCCTAGTGGATTACTTTTGAAAAACCGGGCCCTGGAGTCTGAGCTCCTGATCCAGGTTCCAGGATCCAGGATGAGAATGGGAACCAGGATCAGGATCAGGACTCAGGGTGACTCAGGTTGCCATGGTAACTGATGCTGAACACCTGACCCCCGCTGACGAATCAGAGCTCAGTTTTTTAAGATAAAACTAATTTTGTAAGAACAAACAAACAGGGACAAAAGCAACATGCTGACTTCCTGTTTAAGACCTCCAAAATAAAGGTTTGTTCTGTCTCCGGCTCAGAGGGGAAGGTGGAGGTGACTAAGGAGGGGAAGAAGCTGTGTACGATGGGTCCAGGCAAAGTGTTCGGGGAGCTGGCCATCCTCTACAACTGCACCCGGACGGCCACCGTCATGAGTGAGTACTGACCCGTGTACATGTACCTGAGTATGTACATATACCAGTGTATCTGTGTGTACTACGCGCCCAGTGAAGCTCCTCTTCCATACGGCTGAAGTGCTCGTGGGGTTGTGATGTGATTCTGAGGCGGCGTCGTCAATAACTGATTATTAATTAGTCTTTAACGAGCAAACGTTTTATCTCTCAGAATTAGTCCCAAATTAAAAGTGTTAAAGTGTCTGAACCAATGAAACATCAACTCAACTCTTTAGTGAGTGTGTGTGTGTCTGTGTGTGTGTGTGTGTGTGTATGTCGTGTGTGTGTGTGTGTGTGTGTGTGTGTGTGTGTGTGTGTGTATGTCGTGTGTGCCATGTGTGTGTGTGTGTGTGTGTGTATGTCGTGTGTGCCATGTGTGTGTGTGTGTGTGTGTGTGTGTGTGTGTGTGTGCCGTGTGTGTGTGTGTGTGTGTGTGTGTGTGTGTGTGTGTGGGGGGGGAGACCTCCAGCTTTTTTTTGTCAGTGCTTCCTGGTGTTTGGCCCCTCTGAGCCGCGGTTGCCAGGCAACACCATCGGCTGCAGCCAATGAGTGAAGCTCTGGCATGGCGTGCGTCTCTTGGCAACAGGAGGATTTGTTTTTCTTCTTTCCTCTCGTTATCTTCACGTTGACACACCGAGCGGTTTATCCGCCCAGAGCTCGTGAATCAGCGAGATGAGTTCACATGGAAATAGAAGGGAGGAAGTGAGTATCAAGCGAGAGGAAGTAACGACAAGGAGGAAACTCAAAACATCCAAAAAGACTTCCTGAGGAGACATCTAGCTGAGCGAGACATGGTTGGACACATTCACAGAGGTTCTGTCCACCACGTTGTGGACCATGCATAAACACAGAGAGCAGGAGATGATGTTCACTATTAAAGTGATAATGTACACATTGGTTATTGATGCATAAAATGTTTCAGCGCTGATGCACGTGAAGCTGTGGGCGATCGACCGTCAGTGTTTCCAGACCATCATGATGAGAACCGGACTCATCAAACACGCCGAATACATGGACTTCCTCAAGAGGTTACCCCGTCTCCTCATTCTGTCACTGCCCCGCCCCTTACTTCACTCACCACGCCCTTTAAGTAACAAACCCCACCCCTTTATGAGACCAACCTATTTAATAAATTAACCCCTCCCCTTTAAGAGAGTAACCACATCTTTCAGAGACCATTGGCAACAGACAAACACCACTCCTTTAAAAGATGAACCCCACCCCTGAGTTCATCAACTCCGACCACGCCCACTTAGCAGGCGCACGTGTGTCCTATCTCGTATCAATGTTGGTTGTAAAGCATATAGCCTATGGCATGCTGGGAAATCTACAGGGATACATTTTTTGTTTCTTTTTTCCAAACCTTTTATTGGATCAATGCGTGATAAGTCTTTATGAGGACACAACAGAAACACAAGGATTCAGTTGTCTGTCTCTCTGCAGTGTCCCCACATTCCAGGGTCTCCCGGAGGAGACGCTCACTAAACTGGCTGATGTAATGGAGGAGGTGAGACGTGTTCCAAAGCACCTTAAGACCACCTGAAACACCTCAAGACCATTCAACACATTCATTAAACACCTTAAAGTACCTTGGAAACCTTCTTCTTCTGTGGTCTTCTGTGGTCAGACTCACTATGAAGAAGGAGAGTTCATCATCAGACAGGGAGCCAGAGGAGACACCTTCTTCATCATCAGCATGGGAAAGGTAACCACTCCCATGTATCGATTAGCAAACTGATCAGCTGACTCATCCTCATCCGCTGTCAATCACACATGCTCAGGTGAACGTGACCCAGGAGGATTCAGCCAATCAGGAGCCAGCTCACCTCAGAGTGCTCAGCAGGGGAAGCTGGTTTGGAGAGAAGGCCCTGCAGGGGTGAGACCATGTGACCTCTGACCCCACGACCTGAGGCTCCAGGCTCCAGACCCCACCCCCTTACAGTGTGTGTGTGTGTGTGTGTGTGTGTGTGTGTGTGTGTGTGTGTGTGTTGGATTCACAGTGAAGATGTGAGAACAGCAAATGTCATCGCCGCCGAGGCCGTCTCCTGCCTGGTCATCGACCGAGAGTAAGACACGCACACACAGACACACACACACACATAGACACACCCAGAGACACACACCACAACACAGACACACACACACCCAGAGACACACACCAATTTTAAGTAAAGTAACTAAGTACATTTGGTACACCCTTGAGGTACTTGTACTTGTGATTACACAGCACTTATCTGACAGTTTTAGTAACTAAGCGTGTTCAGACTATTGTTACACACTCACACATTTCCCGTTCAGAGGTGAGTCACTTTGCTCTGTGCACACGCTGCGGCGCCCGCCATGCCTGCTAACCCGCTACTGCCACCTACTGGCGGACATTATGTGCTGCAGGCAAGCTCAGCAAGTCACACAAAGAGTTCTACACAATAACCAAAAGCAACCCAGTGACAGGGGAATAGTACTAACTAACACAAATAAAAAAGAATTAAAAAATGTCCAGGGTGCCACACCATTCATCGTCAAACTACCATTAGAAAAGTCCTTAAAGTGATCAACACATTGATGATCAATAACTGCATTATTAGACTTCTATTTACCGGTTCGGTTCTACTGCCCCCTGCTGGTCCTCCGCTGCACAGACGCACACTCATGATCCATAACGATCGGATATTAACACACAGAGTGATTCCACCTGAGAACACAATACTCAATATATTCACAATATCATAATAGGACCACAGTACACATGATAGAGTATTTGTGGTATACATGGTGGTACATATTACTGTGTATACTGCAGAATATATAGTAGTACATATTACTTTTTACTACGTATTAGAGATTATAATACGGGTAGAGGAAATCCAGCGTTCTGATTGGGCGATAACGTACAGAACCTGTTCACATTGACCCGATTGATCCGTATCACTGCGCACAGCAACAGGTTGGATTCTGTGCGACTGTTAGTTGACACTTCAGCTTTTAGCTCGGTGGCGATCGCTGAAAAACCCCGAAAACCCACAAATAATCAGTTTGATCGGTTTGATCAGTTTGATCGGTTTGATCCATTAGATCAGTTTGACAGTTTGATCGGTTTGATCGATTTGATCGGTTTGATCGGTTTGATCGGTTTGATCAGTTTGACAGTTTGATCGGTTTGACAGTTTGATTGGTTCGATCGGTTTGATCCGTTTGATCGGTTTGATCCATTTGATCGGTTTGACAGTTTGATCGGTTTGATCGGTTTGACAGTTTGATCGGTTTGACAGTTTGATTGGTTCGATCGGTTTGATCAGTTTGATCGGTTTGATCGGATCGCACAACGTTTGGTGGATACAAGTATTTAGTGCCGATAGGCAGCTGTTTACTTACTATTTATAATTTCACTGGTAACCGTGTTATAAAAGCAACAAGGTACTTGAGGCTGTACTTTATCGGCTCCATCTTCTGCGTCGGACCGAACAACACGCGAACTGTTTAGTAGCAGTAGCAGAACATACTGCAGTACAAGTTAGTGTCGTATTATCAGATTCATACAGTCGTTGAGTAAAGAATGTCTTTCTAGCAAAGAACATTTATTTAATCCCAACTGATGGTTTTTTGTGTAAATAAAAAAGATAAACATGATGATTAATATGATTCATTTTTCTCTCAGCTCCTTCAACCACCTGCTTGGAGGACTGGAGGACGTCTCCGTCAGGGGACACGAGGACGCTGAGGCCAAAGCCAGGTGGGCTCGTCGTCGTCATGGAAACGCCAAATAAAGACACGGTTATATGTTGAGTTTGAGTCCGTGAATGTATTCTCTCATTGCCCAAAGTTGAAATAATCATTAAACATAAAAATCTATTTTTTATCCATTTTTTTAACTATCTGCCATTTGATTATGATAGAAATCAGCCTGATTATTATCATTATTAATAACTTCATTCTCTCAATATGCACGTCAGCAGATTAACTGACTGAGTTCATTTTAACAAAATCATTTAAAAATAGAATCATACAACATAGAGGGATCAATAGAGAATAGGAGATTAAAATAACTATGTATGCAATTTAAAAACGCTGTTCAGGAAAATGAAAATGTTTAAATAGGGGGGATGAAGACAAGATGATGAAGATGAAGATATTCCTCCGATGGTGTATTTATAATAATAATAATAACCTTAAAACAGAGTTCTGGTTTGTAATGTTATTGGATTTCCTCTAAAGAAAAACATGTTCATTTAACTAATTATTCTTTTTTTCTATTATCTGCTTTGCTTTGCGCAAGGGCACTAGGGCAGAGACAGTGGAGGTCACATAGAAAGATTCCAGGAAACACATACACACAAACACGTACACAAAGACACTCACACATACACACACACGTGGTATTCAGAGGTCTGATCTATATATGAATACATATATAAAAATGATACATATATATATATATATATATATATATTATTTATATAGTATATATACAGGTAGAGATTAACATGACTCATGATTTTGTCTCGGTTTTCGGTCACCTCCTCCAAATCCTGAAGTGGCGTCTTTAGTCTAAATGCTCCTCTATGTTCTCAAGCTGGTCTCTCAGCTACATTACATTACATTACATGTCATTTAGTGGAGCTACATGTATCAGAGTCTTCTAGCTCTTGAAGCAGGTTCTACATTTCTGAACCTCTAGCAGGTCCTGAAAGTTACGGTCTGGTACCTGAACCAGGACCAACGTCGGCCCTGAACCAGGCGTGCTTGTATTTGCTCCTCAATGATCCTGAACATGCGTTCAAAGGCGTGACTGCACACAATTAGCTTTGTCTGCGCCGGTGGTTCATCTTCATTAACTTTAGCGGCATTTCTGTCTTTATTTGAAGTTTATTTCATGTGTGGTGATCAAGAGCAACGAATCAGACGGCACCAAACGAGGCTGACCTAGCTAGTACCTGAGGCTACATCACTACCCAGCATGCTTCAGGCTGTCTGTACCGTAGAGTCCACATCTTCAAAGAGACCTGGATCCATCGAGGTCCAGGATCAAGCTGTCATTGGACCAAAGGAGATGGATTCTGATTGGACTAAATGAGATGATTCTGATTGGACCAGAGGAGGTGGACTCTCATTGGACCATAGTAGGTGGACTCTGGTTGGATCGGAGGAGGTGGACTCTCAGTGGAAGTGGACACTGTTTGGACCAGAGGAGGTGGGCTGTGTTTGGGATCGGAGGAGGTGGACTCTTTTTTGACAAGAGGGATGGGTGGGGGGGGGGGGGGGGGGGGGGGGGGGGGGTTGTCTACATCATGATGCTCAACACAGTCGCATATGATAGACAATCTTTCCCTCTTGTAACTTTTTAATGTTCAGATGTCGGCCATTGAATCCACCATTTTACTCATTATGATGCGAGTAAACAAATTGCACAACACGAATGTGTATTGTTTTTTGTCATGTGGTTGTGCTACAGTCCTTTAGATGCAAAATAACAATGAATTCTTCACTCCTTGAAAATACTGCTCACTTTAAAGCTGCCGAAGCCTTCGTGTCCTCTGGCTCGGAGGTTGGGACGATTTGTCCTGCCGTCCGACTGATTCCCCGACGGAACCTCTGAGCGATTTTTCTTGGGGCTATAAATACCAGCAGGGTCTGGTTACTCCCTGTAGGACTCGGCGCAGACGTGGACCCGTTCTCACTGAAAGTACGGACCTCTCTGAAGCTTCCCTCAGTCACTATTTCAGTTGGACTTCTTCCCAAAGTCAGAAGTCCACACATCCGGAGTCTGGATGTTCAGAGCTTTAGGGAAAAAGACCAGACGTAGAACACCCACGAGACGAGAACCTTGGATTGGCCCGAGCTCCGCCATGTGAGCCTGAGGTGGAGACTTCGTCCCCAAGTTTGAAGGATTTCCATGTTGTCCCCAGAAGAAAGAACCGGACCATCAAGACCACGTGGTGGATCGAATCCAGCAGTTTCTCACAGCAGCTGTGCCATCAGAGGCATTCTGATGAGGGGTTGGACTGAAGAGAAGAAACCTTGATCTGTGAGCAATAATTGTGAGTAAGCTCTTTTTGGAGATGAGAGAGTTGTTTCTCCTCCCAGCGAGGCAGCCGAGACGGCGTCCCTCCAGCCCCCCTGCTCTATCCTCCTCTTCCTCCACCCTCTTCACCTTCTTCTCCATCCAAACCTCCGAGAAGTTCCCGTTCTTCCGCGTGGTCAAATGCTGCAGGTACAGTTTGATGCCGCCACAGTCGATCCAGGAAGGTCGGCTGAGTTCGCCTGCTCCGACGCGTTGGAAGTTCTTCTTGCGTACGGTCAGTGAAGGCCTCCCTGTGTTTGTGTGTCTCCAGGTACGAGGCGGAGAACACCTTCTTCTCCAGCCTGAAGCTGAAGGACTTCAACATCATCGACACGCTGGGAGTCGGCGGCTTCGGACGCGTCGAGTTGGTACGTCGAGGTTAACACCATGTCAGATCATGTGACGTGTTGCTGGTACTCTCTAGTATAATGGCCGGTTCAGGATTCGATGTGTTCAAACTGAAAGGACTTTTCCAAAGATAATCTCTAGTGCCTTAAAAACACTTTTTAAAAATAGACCTCAGGTCAGTTTCACATGAAGAATCTTGAGATTAAGTTAAAGATCAGTTTGAGTCCAGTTGTGTGTGTGTGTGTGTGTGTGTGTGTGTGTGTGTGTGTGTGTGTGTGTGTGTGTGTGTGTGTGTGTGTGTGTGAGAGAGCTATTTGCAGTAACGTTCCACTGAGTATCAGTGCTGGTAACTGGAAACCATCATGTGATTCAGTTCGGCTTCTCTTGGGGTTCTTTATGGTTCTGTAGGAATCAGAAGAGTTCAAATCTCTTAGATTCATCATCATCATCATGAATAAATAAATCCTGTCCACTAATGAGTTGTCTCCAGTAAATTGTCTTCATTTGTCGTAATGAGCTTCTCAGATCAGAAGCTTCCTTTGTTCACATTCCTGCATGTAGTCACTCATAGTTCATGAGTGGTGAGATGGAAGGAGACGTAGGAGGAGGTGTGACGTAGCGGTCGGTGCACTCGGGTTTCTCTGCAGCAGCAGGACGTGTTCAGGGTACTGAAGGTCAGAGGGGAAGCCTTGCAGAGGGTTTACCCAAGAACAGGAAGTAATCCCCGCTGAGGGTCTCCCATCATCCCTCTGGAGATATTTTTGGTGGACGAGTCAGAGAGGATCTCTTCTCCGATGAAAATACTGACCTTTGACCTCCAGACTGCTCCACAGGCAGCTTCAGGGCAGCCGCCAGGCTAGCGGTTTCCTATCTTTATGTCTAAGTGGGGTCCATGGAGGATTGAGTCATGTTTTATTTCCACTGCAAATGTTTGTTGCTCATGTTTCGTCCAGACAACTTTCAACCTCAAACAGATATCAGTGAAGATTTAAACCCAAGACTCAATCAGTCTCTCCTTGCTGCTTCGTTAGGTTGAAACTGCTTGATCAAATTCAAACAACTAAACATGTTAGTGTGATATGATACAGATGTGTTGGCATGTGTCTTCAGGTGCAGTTGAAGAACGAGGAGGCGAAGACATTTGCCATGAAGATCCTGAAGAAGCGACACATCGTGGACACGAGACAACAGGAACACATCCGCTCGGAAAAACACATCATGACCGAGGCGCACTCCGACTTCGTCGTGAGGTCAGTGCCCTCTAACAGGATCCTGGCTTTCAAAATGAAGTGAGAAATCCTTCTGGGGGTTTATATGCAGCATTTTTTAAAATATGAATAAAACTTTAACTGGAAATACATTTTTGATTTGTTTCTAGCTTTAAAAATTGAATAAAATTAGAATATAAAAGACTTGACTAGAATTTTATTAACCATGAACTAAAAATAATGTCTCCTTATTTACATAAAACCAGCAAAAGAATTCTATAAACCACACAGAATAAAAATGAATGAAACATTACGTGTCATTTAGCTGACTTACTTACATTTTTAACCCGTGGTTTCTACATTTTGCTCGGGGAGCTATCAGGGGTTGGGTGTCTTGCTCAGGGACAGGAGACATGGGACATGGAGCAGGCAGCGTTCGAACCACCAACCTAGAGGTTCCCGGCGCTCCCTCTCTGTTCCGTGCAGCACCGTCGCCACGTGACCACCTTCCTCAGTGGTGATGATCGAAGGTCTGATGAAGTGTTCTGTGCTCAGGTTGTACCGGACCTTTAAAGACACTAAATACTTGTACATGTTGATGGAGGCCTGTCTGGGAGGAGAGCTGTGGACCATACTGAGAGACAGGTGCACATCTCACACCTCTCTTGTTGGAGTCACGTCGTATGTTGCTACATCGACTGGACTGTGCTTTGTGTTTCTCAGGGGCTCGTTTGAGGACTCCACCACCAGGTTCTACACAGGCTGTGTGGTCCTGGCCTTCGCCTACCTGCACGCCAAAGGCATCATTTACAGAGACCTGAAACCTGAGAACCTCATCCTGGACAGCCGCGGATACGCCAAACTGGTGAACCCGTGTTAATTCATCAAATACATTTTCAATATATATATAACATTGTATATAATCCCAGTTTAGCAACACAATGCACTGTCTGACAGCTGTACAAAACGCTGTGAAGGAACGATGTGGTGTTTTGTCCTCTTAGGTTACGGTGTCTGATATTTAGTAAGCGGTTTCAGAGCAGCAGCTTTACGAAAGAAGAAATCATTAAAACCTGCGTTCAAATTGAAAGAACAAGAGCAAAAGTAGGAATAAAGTTCTATATTGCAGAAGGAAGAAATTATTGAACTATTGAAATTTCCTTTTTTACATACGTTCTTATGAATTCTTAGTGGTATAACCTCTCATAATGGCATGTTATACCACTACAGTATACATGCCTTACTTTGCTAAATCAAACATGTTTAGATGTTAAGAGAGTAAAAGGAAAATAACGCCTCACGCAACAATAAGCTTCAAGAGTAACTGATTCAAAACGGCATCTCAAGATTTAGGGACATTGACCCTTTAGACTTCAGTATTTTAAACCAGGTTCTAGTTTGCCGTGACCCATCAAGAAATAGGAAATGTTATGCAGAGTGTTGAAGCGATCAATTCTTTTTCTAGGTGGACTTTGGTTTTGCCAAGAAGATTGGTTTCTGTAAGAAGACGTGGACGTTCTGCGGGACGCCGGAGTACGTGGCTCCGGAGATCATCCTCAACAAAGGCCACGATGTGTCTGCAGACTATTGGTCTCTAGGAATCCTGATGTACGAGTTGCTGACCGGCAGGTGAGGTCAAAGACGAAGAAGCTCGGTTGACTCAAGCTCTGCTTGATCGGTGTCCTATGATGTCACACGGTGTCCTCCGTGTGTCTCCAGTCCCCCGTTTTCAGGTCCGGATCCAATGAAAACCTATAACGTCATCCTGAGGGGCATCGACATGATCGAGTTCCCCAAGAAGATCCCCAAGAACGCCGCCAGCCTCATCAAGAAGCTCTGCAGGTAGGGGGCGCCATTTACCTCAGCCGCTCACGTCACCTGTGGAGTCAAAGCTCTGAAATGTTTCTTGTGTCAAAAGAGATAATCCCTCAGAGAGACTTGGAAACCTGAAGAACGGAGTCAAAGACATCCAGAAGCACAAGTGAGTTCCTGACACCTGATTGGCTGTTTCAGCTCAGCGGACATCGGAATACAATCTAAGAACTAACTTGTCTCTCGGGGTTCAGGTGGTTCGAAGGTTTTAACTGGGAGGGTTTGAAGAAGGGAACTCTGACTCCTCCCATCACACCCAATGTGAGTTGAAGTTTAATTCATGTTTGAACAATCAATGGACTGAATTCTAATAATTATGTTTAATAATTCAAGAATACATTAGAATTATACAAGAAATCATCATTAATTAAATAGCCTACATTTGATCATATTTAATTTTTTAATGTATGTAATATAGTATTTTTAGTATATACTTTTTATTATTTAGTAGCATTAAGAAAAAGAAACTAATTCCTGATTCTGGCATATCAAGCATATTACTTCAGGGCCCAGTTTAAATGCCGTTAATCTCGGATGGAATAAGGTCATACCACCGATCCCTAAAGCAAGGCACTAACCTGCCATGCAGAGTTTCCTCAGGTCTTTGACCAGCCTGACATCTGACACGTCTACATACGTTGAAGGTGTTTGACTCGGGGTCGTACTTTCCAGGTTTCCTCTCCGACCGACACCGGCAACTTCGACAATTTTCCCGAAGACGCAGACGAGCCGCCACCAGACGACACCTCCGGATGGGACTACGACTTTTAGTCGGGATTGATACCCGAGTGAGGTCGGAATCCGAGGCAAAGGAGACTTCTCAATGGGGCTAATGGAAGATGAGCTTCACGAGCCACCTGGAGGACCTTTTCTCCCCAAGTAGCCGACTGTGTCCTGAGTTTTTAGAGCCTTGTGGGATTCAAACTCCCGATGATTTGTCGCCACATTGTGCCCTCGTGTGGTTCATGCTGAGTGTGAGGAAAGGCGGCGGAAGGGACTCCAATCAAACTGGTCCCTCTACCTGGAGGAATAACTAACCATCTGATAAACATCTGATGATGTGTCTCCAAGTCCAGGGAGGACTTCTTCCTGAAGTCTCTCAGTGGAGGAAGAAGGTCCGAGAAATCTCTGAGTGACAAATACCTGCTTCAAAAGGTCAATGAAGTCATCCTCTTGATTTTAGTAAAAGAACTCTGGGACAAAACCCCTCCATGTCCCAAATAGAAATAATCGAGTCCATAAATCTCTGAAGCTCTTCAGTCTAAATGTTGTCGCCAGAGAAATCTCATTATGAAATGTGCTCAATGGACCCAGTGAGAGACAGTAGAGACAGTAGAGACAGTAGAGACAGACGAGCCAACGTGGCTGTAAAGAAGATGGCCGATCTCATAACATCGGACAGCCAGTGGAAAAACGCTGCTCCGCTGAGGCTGATGCTTCACACAAGGTTACGCTCACACAACTACTGCTGCCCGATTCTGGAAGTCCTCAGGTGCTGATCAGACCACGTGGACCCAGTCATGGATCTCTGTATTTGGGCCAGAAAACCTGAGGTCACCGTGATGCCTTCACTCGTCGCTCATAGCCGAGGAACTCGTAAGTCGGGTGTAGCGGCAGATGACGTTTTCTGCTTTTAAACTTTCCTTTTCCATCCTTCTAATGGAGTGAATCTGTGCATCACTGCATACGAGTAGATGTTCTCTACATATTTCCTTCATTTGTTTTCTAACACACGCACAAACACTCCTTTTTCACACACACATTTTATGTTTATTATCAGCTCTGTTTTTCATGGTGTTTCAAAGAGGAACAGTGGAGCTGCTTCATGATGGATCCTCCACATGTCCCACTTTCTAAAGCTGTCTGTTGAATTGTTTTATGTGCAGGTCAAGGTCATGTGACCCTGAGCTCCACAGCCTCTCCTGAATCCACCAGATTCTTCTGTTTCCATTTTCCAAGGTCCGCCTGTCTGTCTTTCAGTATCTTGTGGCCTTTTGGAAAATCAGCTTCTTTTTCTCTGAATGTGGCACATGATGTTTTAACGTTTCAGAACTCTGCATGAAAAAGGTTCAGTTTTCACCTCCAGAGGTTAGCTTCGATAGGTTGTTGTTGCTGAGAATGAGAGATTAGCCTAGCTTAGCATGGAAGCTAGCTTAGTGTTTTGTTCCCAGTGAGCGCAACAACCAAACACACCTAATGAAGTATCTTGATTTAGTGTAGAAGTAGTGACAGTAACCTGTGAATGCCCAGATGTGGATCAATATGTCAACTTTGCATATTGTTATGAAAAGGAGAAATATTAATGTTCATATTAATTTTTAGTGATATTTTGTGGTTATGAGATTCTATGATAAAGTATTGCAGATTTATTTGTATATAGGAATATGGTATTTAATGAGATCTCAGCTGTTAGTATTGTTGTTATTTTTGAGTCTCTCTCTGTTTTAAAAAGCTTTATGAGCTTGACTGTTTAAGTGATTTCGTTTTAAATAAAGGCTGTAAAAAAAGAAGAAACAAAACTGGATGAGTTTACTTACTTTAGCCTGAAGAGTATGACGGGAAACAAGGTTTTTGTATGTGCTGTTTAAACGGTATCATCAGAACCTCCATCAGAGAACCAGAAGTGTTGGGACGTGGTGGAGCAGCAGGAGAAGCTCCACAATGACGGATGGAGCAGATCCTCTGGAAGTTAAAAGGTTAACAGCCGGCTCCATCCTTTTTTATGAATGAGACACACACACACTGTGATGTCATCAACAAGCTCCTCCCCCACCAATGCGGGAAAAACCTCACGATGAGGGAGAGAAAGGTGTCCTCGTGATTTTTCTATGTCTCTCTCCCTCCCTTTAGAGGGGAGGAGGGAGTGGGGGAGAGTACACGCCCCCCCACTGCATCCGACGAGGGAGGAGGAGGGAAGGGCAACGCAGCATCAGCATCTCAACGTCTAGAACGAGAATGACAAACATTTAAACCCTCTGAGCACAGTCACCACGGAGATGACTAATTACTGGGCCGCCATGCACTGACTGCAGAGACCGGCGCTGTCTAATCGCTGGAGTGAAGAGGGGTGGAGAGGAGACTGTTCATTTGGGGCGTCCAAACTAATTTATGGATAATAGCTTAATCGTGGGAACAGACTACGTGCTGAACAGCAAGCGTCCTCTTTAAATATTCATCTGCTCCAACCGAGCAGCTGCTCAGACCACCTGCCACGCCTCCACATGTGGTGCTTCAGAGGCTGGGATCTGGCTAATATCTGGAACAACTGACACCCCCCCTCCCAGATCCTACACTCCCTGCTACTACAGCCTCCTTCTGGACCAGGCTAATCTCTGGGTCTGGGTGTCTGGCATGTTCTGCTTCTGCCTGCAGAGTTCTCTACTGAAGCTCCAGGCGCTGGAGGTGGAGGGAGGCGCCTCTCTTGCTCAGTCCCCAGACGAGGGCTCCCCTGCCCAAGGGAGCAAGGAGAAGAAGAGCCCCTGTGGCCCTCCGGAGCTCCGAGGGAATGAGGGGAAGACGCCGGCTCTCTGCCACGGTGTCTTCTCTGACGAGAACAACCTGCCAGGTACCTGTCTGTCTGACACACACACACACACACACACGTCTGTCTTCAAAAACCCACCTGTCTGTCTGACTCTACACACGCACACATCTGTCTGTCTGACTCTACACACACACATCTGTCTGTCTGACTCTACATACGCACACCTGTCTGTCTGACTCTACACACGCACACATCTGTCTGTCTGACTCTACACACACACATCTGTCTGTCTGACTCTACATACGCACACCTGTCTGTCTGACTCTACACACGCACACATCTGTCTGTCTGACTCTACCACACACATCTGTCTGTCTGACTCTACATACGCACACCTGTCTGTCTGACTCTACACACGCACACATCTGTCTGTCTGACTCTACATACGCCCATCTGTCTGTCTGACTCTACACACGCACATCTGTCTGTCTGTCTGTCTGTGCCACATATGTCTTGTATTGTAGTATCCAAGTAGTTACCTGTCTACCTGTCCGTCACTCTAACTGTTGAATTGAGTTGAATGACATGTCTCCACAGAACGGCTCACAGTTCTAACCAGACCTCCACCATTAACCGTTCACCCTGGGCACCAGCCCCTGATCCCTGATGGAGCTGTGCCCCCCAGCCCTGGGGTGGAGGTGGGAGGGGAGGGGGGAAGTGGACCTCTCCTCCAGCTGCTGTCTGGAGGACCAAGTCCTCTTCCCTCGCCCCGCTGCCTCACCCCCAGCCAGAGGTTCAACTCTGACCCAGAGACGGCCCCGTCACCCCCCTGCAGCCAGCAGTACATGCAGTGAGTCTGTCTCTCCCTCTTCCAACCTGTCTGTCTCTCCGTCTTCCTACCCGTCTCTCCCCCTTCCTACCTGTCTGTGTTTGTGTCCAGGTGTCAGGCTCGGGACTGGTCTGAGGTCTCAGAGCAGCCCTCCTGTCCCTCGTCCATCTCCTTCCTCACCAAACAGATTCAGACCCTGAAGAAGAAGGTCCGTCAGTTTGAGGATCAGTTTGAGCAGGAGATGAACTACAAGGTAAAAAATCCTCAGGGTTCTGGTCCGGATCAGGTGAGAACCCTTATAACGTTGTTGGTTCTTCCTCCCCAGCCGTCCCACAACGATAAATACTCCAACCCGGAGATGATCCGCGTGATGGGGGACCTGGCCACGGCTCGGCGACGTCTGAAAGGTAAAAGATCCTCACTGAGACGAACCTTTGCCACTAGAACCACACCTTCTGTAGAACCCAAGTAACACCCTGTGTAGAACACTAATCACACCTTCTGTAGAACCCAAGTAACACCCTGTGTAGAACACTAATCACACCTTCTGTAGAACCCAAGCAACACCCTGTGTAGAACACTAATCACACCTTCTGTAGAACCCAAGTAGCACCCTGTGTAGAACACTAATCATACCCTCTGTAGAACCCAAGCAACACCCTGTGTAGAACACTAATCACACCCTCTGTACAACGCAGTCACAACCTCACACCTTTTGTAAAACTCTAACCAGACTCTTTCTAGAACCTGAGTAAAACCGGTACCTACAGTAGAACCCTGATCAGACCCTGTGTAGTACCCAAGTCACACCCTCTGTAGAACCTTAACCACACCCACTGTAGAACCTGAGTAACACCCTTTGTAGAACCCGAGTCAAACCATAATCACACCCTCTGAAGAACCCTAATGACACTTTCTGTAGAACCTTAATCACATCCTTTGTAGAACCTAAGCCGCATCCTCTGTAGAGCTCTAATCAGGCCCTGTGTAAACCTGGGTCACACTCTTTATAGAACCCGAGTCACACCTACTGCAGAAACCCTTATCAGACCTTCTGTAGGATCCTAGTCAAACCCTCTGTAGACTCAAGTCACACCCTTGTAGGTCTGATTAGAGTTCTATAGAAGGTGCGTTGTGACTTCCAACGCACCTTCTATAGAACTCTAATCAGACCCTTTGTAGAACACGCGTCACACCGGTACCTTCTGTGTTTGTGCAGAAATGAGACTCAGACAGTCGGTGTTCGAGTGCAAGGAGCCGGAAGTTCCAGAGAACTCCTGCAGGTAATCCCCCCGATCTACCTGTCTGTCTACCTGTCTGTCCCCCTGCACATGCTCAGTAGCGTCCACTGTGTTCTTCAGGTCGGGCCAGCAGGTGGAGCCACGCCCTTCTCTGGAGGACACGGTGGAGGTTCTTTTAGAACGGCTGAGGGAGAAGAGGCAGGCCCTGGGCCTTCCAGACAACATGAAGGTCCTTGACCACTTTAATGCCATCTACTTCTGCTGCTGTGACAGACACCTATCGAGTTTGGATGACCCTCACTCTGTGAGGTCATAGAGCTCAACATAAACAGGTCATAGGTCAAAGTAAACGTCGCCATTCCTACACAGTTTATTAAGCACAAACATTTCCTACAGGATGAATAACTGTTAAATATTCCTCAGATGGTTCTAAACGTTGTTAAGACGTTGACTGTTTGCCTGCTTGACTTTCTCTCCTTTCTGTCTCACTCCATCTGTCTGTCTCTCGCTAGAGCACATATGTCAAACTCAAGGGAATTATCTTGATGTTACTGGTATGGCCGGACGTGGCCCCTAACCTAAGACGAGCTTGACACCTCTTCTCTAGAAACGATTCATTTAACTCCCCCCTGGTGTGTGTAGGACATGACTCAAGCTCAGATGGTCCTGGAGAAGATGACCCTGCAGAAGTGTCTGCTTTACTTGAGAGTCTTCACGGCCGACCGGTGAGTCCTCACAGCGCCCCCGTGTGGTCACAGAGAGGAACTATATGACGATAGAAAAGCTGGAGGATTAACTGGCCGTCTGTGTAAAGGATGTCTGTCTCACTGTTTGTCTCCCTGTGTCTCTGTATCCTTGTCTGTCCGTGTCTCTGTTTCTAACCCTGTCTGTTTGTCTCCCTGTCTGTCTCTTTCTGTCTCTCCGTCTCTCTGTCTCTCTGTCTGTCTCTCAGGCAGTGAAGCAGAAGAACCTGGTGAAGCCTCTCTATGACCGATACCAGATGATCAAACGTTTGCTCTGCAGCAGCCCGACTATCGGCACCATAGTGAGAGACTGGTTCATCATCATCATCATTATTATCATCATCATCATTATCATCCACATCATCATCATTATCATCCACATCATCATCATCATCATCATCATCATTATTATCATCATCAGAATCAGGAAACATGTATTACAATAATGTGTCACACATACAAGGAATTTGACGTAGCAGCAGACAGTGGACAACAACTTAGTTAAGCTGCTGTAGGCTTAGACTGCCGGGGGACCACCGAGCTCCTTTCCCATCTGATGGTGGTTCTATCTGATGGTGGTTCTATGTGATGGTGGTGCTATCTGATGGTGGTTCTATCTGATGGTGGTTCTATGTGAGTGTTGGTTCTATCTGATGGTGGTTCCATCTGATGTGGTTCTATGTGATGGGGGTTCTATCTGATGGTGGTTCTATGTGATGTTGGTTCTATGTGATGGTGGTTCTATCTGATGTGGTTCTATGTGATGTTGGTTCTATCTGATGGTGGTTCTATGTGATGGTGGTTCTATCTGATGGTGGTTCTATGTGATGGTGGTTCTATGTGATGGTGGTTCTATGTGATGGTGGTTCTATCTGATGGTGGTTCTATGGATTGTGGTTCTATGTGATGGTGGTTCTATGTGATGGTGGTTCTATCTGATGGTGGTTCTATGTGATGGGTGGTTCTATGTGATGGTGGTTCTATCTGATGGTGGTTCTATCTGATGGTGGTTCTATGTGATGGTGGTTCTATCTGATGTGGTTCTATGTGATGTTGGTTCTATCTGATGGTGGTTCCATCTGATGTGGTTCTATGTGATGGTGGTTCTATCTGATGGTGGTTCTATCTGATGGTGGTTCTATCTGATGGTGGTTCTATGTGATGGTGGTTCTATGTGATGGTGGTGGTCCCTGCAGTGGTCCTGCTGTGCGTCTGGTTTACTACTCACAGTTAGTTGAATCATTCTGTCATATAGTCTCATGTATGATACATTGTTCATTCTGTGCACATGACATCATCGTAGTCTGTCCATCAGGAGACGGATCCTCCTCTGACGTTCTCACTAAGGTTTCTTACCTTTTTTTCCCTGTTGGAAGGGTTTTTTCATTGTTGGGGGGGAGTTTTTCCTGTGCCGATGGAGGGTATTGTACAGACTGTAAAGCCCTCTGAGGCAAATTTGTAATTTGCGATTTTGGGCGATACAAAATAAAATGAATTAAATTGAATTGAACAAGACAGATAAGACGACAAGTGCAAGAGGAATAAAATAAAATCTATAGTGCTATGGGTTAGTATATATGGCTATGTGCATCAACCTCATCATCACCATCATTATTATCATGATCACCATTATTGTTATTATTATGATTCATCATTATACACGGTTAAACTAATATAAGATGCCTCTGTCTCTCAGGAGGAGGAGGACGGTGTCTGATGAGACTCGATGAGCTCCTTGGCGGTCCATGAACTGCCCGACCCGCCTCCTTGCACAACATCTGGACCAACGGATGGCGACCCCGGCCTTTGTTTCCCCGCTGGACGAGGTGAAGGTCGTCCACCAGCAGGCCTTCGTTGCCACAGCTAACCTGCACGAGGCCTCCAGGTCTGTGTGTGCGTGGAGGTCCAAGAGGCGGCACCTTGACGTGATGGACAGAGAGTCCTAACACTTCGCTCGGTCCTCCCCGCCGCAAACAGGTCTCAGCTGCTGGAGTATTTCCGAGAGACGAGGGCCGAGAAGAAGACGAGGGCGTAAAGCTCTGAGAGAGTTTGAGGACGAGCATCACCGTCAAACTGGAAGGTGTGAGACTAAGAGACCGCCGACACTGATACGGCTGCATTCTCTGTAGTGACCAGCAGGGGGCGACTCCTCTGCTCCCATAGACGTCTATGAGGAAATGACTCTACTTCTCTGTAGTGACCAGCAGGGGGCGACTCCTCTGCTCCCATAGACGTCTATGAGGAAATGACTCTACTTCTCTGTAGTGACCAGCAGGGGGCGACTCCTCTGCTCCCATAGACGTCTATGAGGAAATGACTCTACTTCTCTGTAGTGACCAGCAGGGGGCGACTCCTCTGCTCCCATAGACGTCTATGAGGAAATGACTCTACTTCTCTCTGGATTTATTCTCTCAGTAAACACTGTAACATGAGTTCATGGTCTCAGTCTCTAGTTGTTGTCTTCTTCAATACAGCATGATGTTGTTACTGATGAAACAAACGCAAGGGAATAAGGAAACTAGCCCAACAGCGAAGAGGGCAAACAATAATCAAGAATGTATTCTTCTTAAATACGTTTAAAGTTTAAAGAAAAGCAACAAGACAAAAGCAACATGCCTACAGAAATAGGCCATTATGCATCCTCGGCCTCCCTCTCGGCCTCTCACTCCGAGGCTGGTGGAATGCGTGGCGGCAGCCAAAACAGCAAATGTCTCTCTCTCGCATGAGCCCCCTGGGTCATCAAAAGCTTTTTAATGCTGGGCTGTCTGCAAAACACAAGTATACACTACAAGTCATTTAGCAGACGCTTTTATCCAAAGCGACTTACATTGCATTTTTAACACATGGCTTTTTACATTTTTGCCCGGGGAGCAGTTAAGGGTTAGATGTCTTGCTCAGGGACACTTCGACATGGGACATGGAGCAGCCGGGGCTCAAACTACCAACCTCGCGGTTCCCTGCGCTCCCACGCTACCCCTGTGCCACGACGACCACAGTACACAAAGGCCAAAATGTTCATTTAGCAAATCCGTTTAGAGTCAAAAAGACCATAACAGCAGGGGATACTTTAGGGCGGGGCTACACACTGATTGACAGGTTAGGGTTGGACATATACAGCGTCTCTACATCCTCCTTAGTCCATTTTTGGTCACTTCCTGTACTCCACTACTTTTAAGCAGTGCACAACTGCGCAACTATTGTGAATTTCTCACAGAAACTGTAAAAGAAGAAAAGCATAAATGTCCTATGGAGACTTCAGCAGAGCTACGAGTGACAGAAGAGAGAACAAATCTCAAGAAGAAACAGCTTTATTGATCCATAATCGTGTTCATTTGAAGACGATGGAATGTGAGAGAGATACAACATTACACGACTGTTATCAAAAACTACTATATACTCATCACACGTGTCTTGTGTGGACAGAATGTTCCAGAAGGAGGATCGCGGTCCGATGAGGAGGAGTACCAGGACTACAAGCAGCTCAAGCCAAACTGCGGCTGCTGGAGGTTCTCCTCAGCAAACAGGAAGTCCACCAAAACCACGTGAGGGGGGAGCAGAAGCTACCGAGAAACCTCCTCCAAGTCTCAGAGGAAGTGTGTTAGGTCTCGCGCTGTCCTTTCCCTCGTTAATTCCCTTCACAGACGAGTCACACTCTCTCTTTACAAGGTCTACCGAGAAAAGAAGTCGCTACAAACAGCTAACCTGGCTGTGCTTGCCGTTAGCATGTTAGCTGAGCACATCTACCATGTTACGGTAGCACGCTAACTTCAAATAGCCATGTTTTAGATTTTTGTATTTCCTTTGCATTTGTGACGTTAAGACTTATAAAACCTTTCAGGATATTTACAGTATTACAAGTACACACAGAGACGTCTCCATGGAAACCGTACACCAGCATCCTCCAGTGTATTTATTTATTTACCTGTTCCAGTCCACAGAACGAGAAATAAGCTTCGAGGGACTGTAAACTTACGGAACAGACCAAATTTTGTTTTATATCCCAAACTAAATGTGGTTTGTTCCAACTTGAAGCACTTTGCAAACAGGTCGTCTCATTCCCTTTGCGATGAGCGTGTAAACGATTGTCATTCTTCATGTTGAAGACTTCTGTATCAGAGCACTTCTTTTTTATCGAATGTTTCATACGCCACATGATCATTGAGTCCTCGGGACGTCCTGCAGAAGCTCAGCACCCCGTTTTAGAGGGTAGACGCTGTGACGATGAACATGAAGGGAGATACAAACTGTTTCCATGGGACTCGATTCACTCTACCTATTCTTCACATCTGGTTGGTGCTGACAGACACTTGGGCAGCCAATCAAATCGAGCTAGAGGCGGGCTTTAGTAGTATGGGAGGAGATTCCAGCCTGACCCTTTACTAAGCCTGGCCCCTGTCAACACAGACGTCTCCTCGTAGCGTAACAGACGATCTGTGTTGTGTTGGTTCACTTTGTTTGTCTTTAGATTTTTTTAATGGTGTAAAAGTCACCTGGATGGAACCCCACTGCCTCAGCTCCGACTGCACGAGTGAAGGTAAAGAGACACTAAATTTACCTGGATGCAATCCTGATGATCTGGATCCTGGACGGTGCGTCAGTGATGTTGTGAGTTGTACATAATGTGATCATTCATAAACACTCCCTTGTCATTGTTGTTGTTGTTCTTCTTCTTCTTCTTCTCCAAAGGTTTCTATCCAGTGAGTTTCACAATCAATATCTTTGGTATCAACACAGTATTGTGTTGTTTTTTTATTATGACCTGTGAGAGATGTAAGATTTAGACATTTGAACATTTACGTATTGTTTTTCAGACCCCTTATTTAATTGAAAGGTGCGTTACTGTAGATTTGTAGAGGATGACTACGTTATGTCAGCCGTCGCCATCTTCTGTTTTTTTAGTTCTTTTCTGGATTATTTCTTGCATACATACTTTCATCATGTTATGATTCTAACATTGACATCACGTGTCTCTTCGTATGTATTTCCTGTTTAGAACATTTAGACATTTAGACACATTAGATTTCACTGTTTCACAGCAGAATGAAGTTGTTTCTCTATTTGTGGTCCTCGTAATCCAGAGTGGTGACCTCACTGTGACCTCACTGTTAGTAGGAGCTGCCGGTGACCCTGAAGACTCGGACATCCCCTCGTAGGGCGAGACGAGGGTCTGCCAGCCCACCCGCTGCTTGTAGTGCCCCAGGTGTTTGATCCGGTAGAGACCCCAGGGGGCCGTGAGGGGATGTGCCACTCGATGGTGGCGTTGCTCTGCTGGTTCGATCCCTTCAGCCAGTGGAACCTGAGACAAAGTTCACTCATCAGCCTGGACGGTATACGTCCAACATATTAAAACACTATTTTATATAGTGGGGGGAGAGGCTGAGGGGTGGAGGGGCTGAGGGTGGAGGGGCTGAGCGGTGGAGGGGCTGAG